TCGCCGTTATCATCTGCTCCTCTGTTTCAATGACGTTTGCATCTCTTTCAGAAACTGTGCAATTACTCCAGTTTTGGGAAGCTCTCTTGCTTTTTGTCTTGCTGGAACATGGTGGGCTCTGTGACCTGCTGGGACCAGGAACGTTCTGCGATGGACTAATATTCCTCGGTTGTGCTGAAGTTTCCGAAAGGCACAATTTTTGCAAACGTTCTTTACAGTTCTTAAGATTTCCAGACAGGAGGGGTGAAGTTACCTTTGGGTCTGTCTGAGCCACACCACCAGGAGAAGGTTCCTTCTGGGAATACTTAAATAAGGCAATTATAGTCATTTCCATAGGTATGGTAAGCAAAGCACATTGAAATCCTAATGTTAGTGATCTCAAATACCTCAAGTGTGTTGGAAATTGTTTGTTCTCGTGAGCGTTAAAGAACATAATGTTAACAAGCAAGTTTAGTAATAGGATTGCTAAACATGAGGACAACCTTTGGAGCCTGCTGAAAGTGCCAGTGAGAACGTGAGCAAAAACGGAGAGCCACAGATGGCGCTCTGTCAGGCTGTATGCAAGATTGATCAAAAAATAGTCGATTCTGAGCAGAGGTGTCTTGGGGTCTGTGACGGAAAATGTCCTTTCTAGTAAGCCATCGCCCTTCTCAAGAGAAAGCCATTTCCTGCACATAAAGAACCAGGTCTTCCTGGTGGACATATTCTCAACTTTGGCTCTGCTTAAGAACCAGCTCGGAGATGAGCCCTTGTTATTGTGCCAGACTCTGAGGGAACAAATGTCTCCCAAGTCTTTCTTAGTAGCTAAGAGAAAGCAATCAGTGCTTCCTTGTTGGAAAGACGGAAAATGTGGGTGCCGTAAACAATGGACGGCACTTGTGCCATTCTTGCCAATGAGCTGGAGAAAGACATCTGCTTTGGTTCCAGCTTGCCAGCGGCTGCCTGTGTATAAAGTGACCAGAAAATTCACTTTATCAAAGGGGTCATTGTCTGGCAGAACTATAATCTTGTTTTTGCTGTCTCTCTCGGCCCTGTCTTTTCTCATGGCCCAGAGGGACAAAAGAAAGTAGGCAGCAAAAATAAAGAGCACCGTTAAGAGGGTCACTGGGTTTTTAGGTACGTCTGCTATCAGGGCTTTTCCCAGATCTATTATGTTGGGCATAACTATTACTTTGGCTGCCAGGAACCTGATGTCAAACATGGGTGCATTTGACGCGGTGTGGACTGACGGACTTCTGCCGCTCTGCTTCACGTTGCAGATGCAGTGTACCCTCTGCCAGTTGGTCAAGGAGCCAAGCCTGCACGTGTCTTCTCTCCACAGGCTTCGATCCCCATCCAGAAATAAGCACTGATCACTAAAAATGTGTATGTTTACCAGTCTCTGGGTTTGATACCTTACGACGTAGGGTGTCCGCAAGACAATGGAGATGTTACAAGTGTCCATACCACTTGCTTGAGCTGTGGCTGTCAGCAATGACTCTGGGAGACAGATAATATAGGGAGCCTTCACATTACAGTCAGCACTAGCTGTCTCATTCTCGCTTGCAGCTGTTGGCATGTTGTGAAAAGCAACAAACGAGGCTATGGGATGAGCATGAGTGACATTGGTGCCTGTAAATACTAGCACCTCAAAAATAACTTCTAATTTTGTCAGGATCTGGATGTATATGCTCTTGGTATTTGTGTTGACTTCAAAACTAAATCCTCCAATTGTGTAATCTTGCGTTTTGTCGGGTCCCATTGCTAATGGAAAAGTCGAAGGTTTCGTATCTTTCCTAGCAACGGTAACTTCTGCTTCTTCAGGCACGATTCCCAGTAGATCCCCGTTGGCCCTGGTCTCTGCCATTTTGAACCCTAAGACCGTTGTTGCGATTTCTGATGTGTAACCTAACCAAGGGAAGGGGTTCTCATCAAACTCAAAAAGGGCAGTGGAAATCACAGCATCATGGGGCAATTCTGAATAATTCCCCTTTTTCATTGATGGATAAAAGCAATTCCTGCAGGTGTTTCTGGTAGAGAAAGCATTTGCGATGTTCCAGCTTTCATCTTTCTTCAGAGTGATATTCCAGTGTTTTGTTTCCATTAGAGTTTCTGTTTCTTCAGGGACTTTGCCCTGGAATACTATCTCCGTTAAATTTTCCATGATGGAGAAGATTCGTTTAACTCCACTTACATTGACATTCCTGCGCTGCAGAAGAGCAGCTCTCAGGATGTTGGACAAGCATCTTAGTATTCCACTGGTCTGGATTTCTGCTTCCTCAGACCAATGGCTTTCATTCCTCTGTATCTTCAGCGCTCCCGTTGCTTCTGTCAGTTTCGTAATGGCAAGGTCTTGTGATCGAACATTCACTTCTTCAGCTTGCTCTGTGACTTCAGAAAGAGAAGCAACTATTTGGTTGATTTCAATTGTATTCTCAACTGAAATATTCACGGCTGCTTTAATCAGACTTTCCCGAAAGTGAGCCTTAGGGAGCTGGAGAGTTGGTGTGTCTTTAATATAGTTTAAGACTGAGGATGCCAGATAACCCAAATAACCTGCGCTAAAATAATCTCCAGTCTGGAGATAAGTTGTCATTGGTGCGCTTACACCACTCACTGAGGCCAGCAGTTCATGAAACACAACAGCCAGTGGTCGACTGTTCACTGGGTTCTGTACGCGGACGTGCAAACTCACTTGGGTGAACGCCCCGAGGGAATTGCGGACTTGAACATAAAGTGTCAAGATGTACTTCTGAGAGGGCACTCCAACTGGGAGAAAGGATGGCGGCGTTTTAGGCTGATAACCGAAGTACAGAATTGTGCCGAACGTATTTTCCTCCACCGAAGTTATTTTGGTAGTTTTGCGTACGTTGGAAGCTACTATCACTTTATATGTCAGAGGTAAATTGCTGTCAGAAAATCCACTGCATTGAACAACAAATTTTGTCAGAAAGGCTGTACCCCTATGTGGGTTGATGGTACACTTGCCAGGCCTAGGAGGAGAATTTACCTTAAATGCATATCTGTAGATGGAGGACCTACCATCCCAGGTAGTTACTTTTAACAGAAGTATGTAGGATCGATGTACAGTCTTTGTAAAAGTCAGAGCATGTATAGACAGGTAAGCCCCAGACCTGCCCGTTGAGGTTCTGGAAGACCAGTCAAAGTTAATTTCTGTAGAGTTTTCTGAAAAAAGGGACCAGTAGTAGGCTGGCTGGGTGTCTGTTCTACAGTTCAGGCATTTTCCAGACAAGCTAAATCTTTCTGTTGGAATTAGAATGCTACCACAGTTTTCAAGGCATGTTACACCCAGAAGGAGTGGGGAGCCGGGCTGCACATCTACAGTTTGGTCGGCATAACTCCTCCTTCTGTCCTTTTGAACCACTAGACGGAAGTAGTATATGGCGTTTCCTGGGAGGGATTCTGGTGGCATTGCTTGAACTGGACCTGAGGATGTTAACCATTTCAAATCCTTCTGGGCCGGATGGCATGTCTTTCCCGGGCTGACTTTCATCGTCTTATAGTCTGACACCTCTTTAGTGCAGTACCAAGTAAATGTGATTCCCTTTAGTCCTTCCTTTGAATCAGGATCGTAGGATGCAGAGCCATCGAGAGTCCAATTATCAGCAAAACCCACCGTGCGGAATGTGCCTCCCGCGATGTTTGCCACTAGATCAGTGCCGTCAATCTGAACATAAACTTCGTCTGAGCCCCTGAGAACTGTCGTGGTCCCAATCGGGGTTATCTCGACAGTGAAGTAAAACAGATACAATCCATAATCTAAAGTGAAACTGGGAACAGTTAAGTGTATCATGTCTACACCATACATCAAAGAAGAGTTTATCGGTTTTGTCCAGTCCGGAATAGTCACTGTGTCTGGAACGGGATAGATTCGCCACAAGGGCTTGACAGATATACCGACGTTGCAGTCTACTAGCAGTCTGACAAAGAGGTAAAAAGATGTCCCCCTTTTCTGGTGCAGGACAGAGGTGCGAAGAACAGGTTTCTGAATCCACACGGTGTCTATGTAACAGGCTTCTTTCTGGCAAGACACCGGTGCTTCTATGGTTTTTGCAGCATAGTTGTTGACTCTGACTCCTAAAAGGGCCGGTGTACGTGCACTGCTGGTACAGTCCACTTTTGCCACAAACCCCGTGTATTTCTCTGGATCAAAGGGTAAAGCAGAGCGACGGACTAAACGTGTGGCGTTTCTTACGTGATCGTTGTATGTGTACGTGCTATTCTGGAGAAGGTGGTCTTTTTGTGTTCCAAAAAGCTGCAGATGGAAGGTCCACTCGCACTGTAGCATTGGGTGTTGTGCAGGGATAAACCACACTAAGTAAGTAAAGCTCTGCCGAAAAGAAGGACGGCTGCTGCTGAAAACATGGACTTCAAGGTCTCTTTCTGCCAGAGACCTAAACAAAGCCCTCTTTTGATTCATGTAAAGGTGCATATTGAACTTGTACCACTGGAAGGCCACAAACTCTATGGAGAGTAGGTAGGAGAGCTCCTCGTGCTGGTAGAACACAGTGTGTGTGTTAGGGCCATCAGTGGAAATAAGGCTGTTGTTTTCTTTGGTCGTGTGAAACGTTCCGTCGTTGTACCTGAAAGTGTAAGTGCCCCTGTTGGTCTTTCCCGGGTGCAGGTTGACATGGGTGGGAGTTCCTCTGCCGGCACTTAGGCTCAGGGTACCATTGAGGAGATGTAGTTCTCCCTTCAATTCCTTGAACCTCTTTCCATCAACAGGAAAATAAATGCTAGCCACCACCACCTCACCCGGGCTCTGTGGTGTGGCAACGGCACAGAAGTTGCTCTGCAGAGTAAAGGAGCTGTAGGAGCGGAGCCAACCTCCTATAGCCTGCGTGTCCACCAATCTGTAGGCCAGCATCCTCGGCGTAAGGGGCTGAAGCCTCCAGGAGAGGCTGAGGGGCTGTTGAACACTAAGGAGCTTGGAGCCAACACTGAGGACATGCAGCAGGTCTGGCTCTACCTTGAGAGAGAGGCTGAGGTTTATCTGAGGCATCTGCTCGATGCTGACTGAAGCAACGTGGAGCCCAAGGTGCCTGTAGCGCACAGTCAAGCGGTAGCTATAGTAGGTGGCACAGGTCTGCTGCAACTCGGCTGTTGGGTAGGCAGCAGGTGGTAGCGTGTCCTGGTACTCACTGCTGGGAAGCAGAAGGGTAGAGGGGCTGCCCCGCTGGCTGCTGAAGCGGTACTGCCAGCTGGCACTCTTGAGGCGCGCGCACCAGCCCAGCTCTACCGGCTGCCACGCGCGGATCAGGTGCGTCTGCGGCCAGAGCACGAACAGTCGCATGTCCTGCCTGGACATCTCGATGCTCACGTTGTGGTGAAAGCACGGGGGTGCAGCGCATGAAGCAGACGAGCATTGCACTGTGAGGAGGCTGGAGGCCAGAGGTGGAGGAGCGCTTCCTGGTAGGAGGCTCATCTGCAGCACGACCTGGCCTGCCCAGCGTGAGGTGTTCCTCACCAGAGCCGAGTTCAGGTACCAGAAACAGCGTGGTGGGGGCAGTGGCCGCCTCTGTGTCCTCTCTGGCTTCAGCCTTGCTCCTGGGGCGGGCTGGTAACGCAGGATCACGGTGCTGTTCCACAGACATGAGCCGCGGTGAGCGTTGTCCTGCCGTTGGGAGACTTGCCCGTGAGGGCCCCGGCAGGTGACCAGC